AGTGGAAGAGCACAGTAGGGTGAATAGGCAAAATCTTTGGGAGATAAAAGATGATATAAGAGGAAAAGAGAAAACAGGATGGTGTCAAATTTGCCCTCCACATCATGCTAAAAAATCTGGACATCATCTGAAAGGGAAAGGCTTTTTTAAAATAGGGAAAATTAACATGGAGGATGGTTTGAGGCAGTGTTGGGACAATAATATTTCTTGATAGGGGGATTTTGATGGCATCATCTGTACGCAATAGCACTCCTAACCCAAAGGCAGCATGCCTGTCCTAGGTCCAATCCACCAGTGGCTCTGTGGGAAAAAGATGGGTCATCTCCTTCCCCTGTGGTAAGGGGCTGTGCTGAAATCTCAAAGGCATGCAGTTTGAATCCCGCTGCTCCATGGGATTGGCAATCTCCTCTCTCTCGTGTGATTAACTGTCTCTAAAAACCTGCCATTGGGTCAGATATAGGTTGGTTCCAATGTGATGGTACACAGCAACACAACAACAATAACCAGCTAAGGGTTAGCTTTGAGTCAAATCAGACTTGACAGACAGTACATGAAACAAAAGATAACACTGTGGCTTGAGGCAGACATACCTGCTAGTTAAGAATTCTCTATATATGTATCAGTTATAAAATTATATAATTATGAAATTAACAGCCGTTTTCTTTGCCCGCAAAACTAGTTACTTAGCCTCAGAATTCGGTTTTCTTTCTTTAGTCATGTAAAGTAGTTTGATCTGTCTGTTTACCAGAAGAGGAAATGCATCTCTCCTAGATCTCTCCGAGGCTGTTTCCCAGTCATATGTAAATTGCATCTTAATCTGCCTGTTTACCAGGAAGGGGACTGTCCCATTACTGAATTACTAGTGTTAAGTGAATTAGTGTCTCACCCTGGTATATAAACCCATGACCACTCCCAGACAGGGAGGCAGTCTTTGAGGCTGAGACCCACTGTCCTCCACAGATCTGGAATAAAGTGCTTCTATGGATACTGCAATCCGTTTGTCTTATTCGTAATTGACTACAGAAAGAACCTCTTCTGTTCAGTAATACACCTTAAACTGATACTCTTTCTCTTTAGCACTTTAAAGTGGTCCTTGACTGTGTATTTTACCAATGGAACATAATTTTTAATTACTTAACAGCTGAAATGGATGTTGATTATAGATTTAAGTAAAATAAAATCTTTGAAAATTTGACAAACTTTTCTTCATTTATCACGTTACCTAGTGGTCCATCACAATAACTTCTCCAGCTGTGAGGAGTTTTGTTTTACTTGATATTTAGGTGTCTGTTTCTTCTCTGACATACACTTTTGTTAATTTTAAACCACATGGTTTAAACCAGAACCCTTTCTCTGTTCACAAACAGCTTCTTGGTCTAGACATAGGTTTTGCATGAACACAATTAAGTGTTTTGCAATTCCCATTCTTTGCAATGTTAGCCATAATTTGTTAAGATCCACACAGCCCTCTAATATCAGATAAAAGCAGGTAATATCTCAGTGATGTTTACCTGCATTTTATTATCCACACAAAGGCATCTGAAAATGAATCATAGAAAATTATGGAAAATACTGTGGAAAATGAGAATTCTAGAAAAATTAATTATGCTCATGTAGAACTGTACATAGAACACGGAGTTATTACTTGTGTATTTTTTATTCACAACAGATGGAGAAGAGATTGAGATTGTAAAAAATTTCAGGTTGTTTAGTTCCACAATCAATACTTGTGGCACTAGCAGTGAGAAACATCAAAAGATGGATTGCATGGGGAAAGTCAAGGACCTCTCCAGAATGCTGAAGAGCAATGATGTCAGTCTAAAGGCTAAAGGGCACCACAGTCTTTGCAATTACTTGCTACGTATCAGAGAGCAGGACAATAACTAAGAGTGATAGAAGAATCAATGCTGTAGAGCGGTAGTGCTGGAGAAGAGCCTTGAACATACAGTAGACTGTCAAGAGAATAAACAGGTCTGTCCTGAAGATGATGAAATCAAGCTGCTCCTTGGAGGCAAGGGTTTTAAATATCCATTTCCATACTTTGGGCATGTTGCCAGGAGAGACTGATGAGGTGGTATTAATCAATTCAGAACTGTCCAAATATATCAGTTAGTATAGTTACAAAACTGACATCAGTTTTCTCCAGCCTGCAAAACTAGTTACTTTGCCTTAGAATTCTTCCTCCCCTCTTTGTGTGTGCACGTGTGTGTGTTGTGTACCGTTGAGTTGGAAGAGACCCATAGCTGATCCTCTGGCACGTTTTCAGAGGCAGTTAATCGCATGGGAGGAAACTGCCCATCCTTCTTCCATGGAGCAGCTGGTGGCCTCGAATTCCGTGTCTTTGGGATTGCAGGGAAGCTTCTTGATATTAGGCTTCCAGTGCTCCTCATCCCTTTCTTTAGTCCTCTAAAATACTTTAAACTGCCTATCTACCAGGAGAGGAAATGTGTCTTTCCTATATTAGCACTCACCTCTTTGAAATGGTTTTCCTCAATCATATGTAAATTGTGCCTTAAGCTTCCTGTTTATCAGGAAGGAAAATGCACCTTTCCTGGATTAGAATTTAACTGTATTTTTTTAAATTGTCTGTTTACTAGTAAACTTGTGTTTTATTAAATTTAGAAATTCTGTAACTTTACTAGCCAAAGTGTATTAGTTAATTAGATTGGTATCTAACTTAAATATAAAAGTGGTTGATCACTCCCAGATGGAGAGACAGTTTTTGAGAGGAATTCTGTCTTCCCAGATCTGAAATAAAGTGCTTTAGATATTTCAATCCATCTGTCTTATTGGCGATTGACTATCGAAAGAACCCCTTGCATTCAGTAACAGGACCAGCCTTTGGAGAAGGACATCATGCTTGAAAAGCTGGAGGGACAGTGCACGAGAGGAAGACCCCAGATAAGACATACTGACCAAGTAACTGGGATAATAGAGAAGGTGTGTCAGAGACAGTGAGATTGGCTCAGGATAGGACAGGGTTCAGGGCTATTGTACAGAAGGTCACTCACTATAAGCAGCAGATGACTCAATGGCACATAACAATAACAACAACAACAACATTCAATTTAAAAAGCTGGCCTATAAGAAGAAGAATGTGGCATCAGGACTGGAGAAAGAAACACTAGCAACTTGCAATATGCAGATGACAGAACCTTGTTTGAGGAAAGAGAAGAAGGCCTGAAGCAATTACTGATGAAGATGAAATACTACAGCTTTCAGTACGGATTACACCAAAATATAAAAGCCAAAACAAAACCAAAAATCCTTGAATTAGAACAATAAGCAACATAAATGGAGAAAAGACTGATGCTATCAAAGATTTCTTTTTTTTTTTTTAGTTGAGAATATAATGCTTATGTTGTCAAAAGGTGTATTGCCTTGGAGAAATTGCTACAAGAAGGCAAAACATGAATTGCCTTGAGGAAATTGCTCCAAAAGATCTCTTTCAAGTATATGAAAGCAAAGATGATGATACCTTGAGAACAAAGGCTGCTTAAGTCAAGCCTCAGTATGCATGCCTCATAGCCGTGTGAAAGCTGAAAAATGAAAAGCAGGTTTGATGCATTTGAATTGTAGTGTTGGAGAAGCTAAAAGAACAAATAAATCTGTCTTGAAAAACAGTGTGTTTGAATTTTCTAAGTTTATCAGTATAAAAGAAAAATTTTATTAAAAAAAAAAAAGACTATAGACAGAATGTTCCTTAGAAAAAGAAATTAGGCTTTGTCTCAAGACAACATAGACATGCTTTCAGGAAGGAGTAGTCCCCAGGGAAGAAGATGATGCTTAACAAAGCAGAGGGTAAGGGGAAAGGAGGAAGACCTTCAAGAAGATGGAGGCCTTAACACAGTGACAGACCCAGACACAGCACTTACTGTGAAGATGACACAAGACAAGGCAGAATTTGGTTCTACTGCATGCAGGGTCGCTGGGAGTTGGAACTGACTTGATGGTACAAGTAACAATAACAATCACATCAGTGTATGAGACTGTAGATATTTACAGCAATATTTTATTCACAAATATTTTTGATATATTACTTTAAAAATATTTGTTACTATAAAAATCAGCACAATATGCTTACAAAAATACTTCGGGGAGACTGCATGGTTGAAATATTTAAAACATGCATCTTACGTGCTTAAAAATATTGTATGGGCAATCTCCTCACATGTGATTTACAGCCTCTGAAAACCTGCTAGAGGGTCAGCTAAGAGTCTGTGACTTGACAGCACATAACAACAATACAAGCAAATCAGCACTCTGTCTTACACACCTGACAAATGAGCTGTTTGTTAATATTTATCAGAACACCAATGCTTCCACCTTTAGCATCAGCTATGTGCCAGACCTTAAATATTAACACAGAGAAATCTTTCACACTGAAGGTCAGAACATAAAGAAACACCAGTGAGGTAGAATCTTTTGGTCTTAATTGTTTAAAGGCTTAGGTACTGACATAATATGCAAATTAAATACTATATAAAATATCTGTATCTATTCTATAATAACATAAGGCTAGGAAAATTAGAAATATACATTGGATTTTTAAAAATACATATAATTTAAGATCTATCAAATACTAAAGAATGTGAGAGCTTATGTGTATACCAAGTAGTGTGTGTAAGAAAAGTGTTTTTACATGAAACACAGATGTCAAAGTGCAAATCTATCTGAAAAATAGGTATTTGTTAAAAACGGAAAATGCCACTAAAAATGGCTGAACTTGTTTTGCCAGTTGACAGTCTCAGAAATCAAAGCTGTGTCTGTCTAGTCTGCATTTATATTTAGTCTGGGCAAATTAATCTCTCTTTTGATCTTAGTTTTGCCATACACTATAAGTTGTTTTATAAGGCTTTAATATTAATTTAGGTTCATAAATTGTGAAATCACTTTACATTAGAAAGGAGCTTATTTTGAAACCGGTGAGAAAACAATGAAAGGTGCTGTAAAAGAATTAAGCAGAACACTGTGATTCTTTACGTGTTTAAGTTATTTACCTCCCGTGAAAGCTGTGTGCCTTGGTCCTTCTGACGCTCTAAGTCTTTCAGTATTAGCGAGTTTTGTTTTTCTAACTGGAGCACTCTTCTGGCCAAGTGGACACTAGACCAATAAAGGGAGAAAGTGAGTGATTACAGTATTATGCTGTCTAAAATGTTAAAAATGTGTTTGTTGGAAACGCACCATTTCCTAAAAGTTTGAACACGACTAGAAAAACATATGAGTATTTTCCAGATGTCAACAGTGGAAGACCAATACACCAAACAACTCAGAATGTTGAAACAACATTAAAATCTCCATAATAATGTAACTGTGATATATTGATTCCTGGAGTAATGGTTTTTAGCTCTTGCTATAAAAGTAGGGAGTTACATTATAGTTGCTTGAAAAGACCACAAGACAGCAATTTGCAGTTTTATTCCCCCACTTTTATAAAAATTTTCCAATTACAAGCAAATCAGGCAATTAGTTGAAACATTAGAAACATTAATAAGCTTGCACTTTGAAAAACATCATCACTGTTTACCTTTGACAATATAATGCATTTAGATGCAACACACAACTGAATAGATTTTCTACTGAAAGTAGAGATGGAAAAGTTTTATGAAACCTGGGAAATGACTGTACACTAAAGGCAAAGACTTCCTACTAAAAGAAATGCCCCTTGGTGATCCACATTATCATAAGTTATTCAAAGAAGTATAATCTTTCGCATTTAAAATTACATTAAAAGTGAAATATCAACTTTACAATCATATTTTAAAGGGAAAAAATTCCGTTATAAAACTACTCTACCTACCTTAAAAAGAAATGCCATAATTTGGGGGCAATTTTTTACAGAACTGCTAATACATTGAGAAACATTACTCCAAAAACTTTCTCTGTAATTCTGAGAAACTTTGATATGTCACATTTTCATCAATTTATGTGTTAAATTATTAACATAATCCATGAACAGAGAAAACAAGACATTTTACAATGACAAGCACTAACAGATCTTCACTCAAAATGGAATTGCATGATAGAACAGTTTTTGTTGTATTCTTTATTTCTTTACATTTCTGTGTTAGGGAGCGGTAGGGGCCTAGTGGGCAAGGATGTGTGTGCTAACATGAGTGGAGTGCTTCTCTGGTGCTTCAATTAAGCAGTAGTTACTTGGGGAAAAGATGGGCAATCTCTTCCCATGAAATTTACAGCCTCTGAAACGGAATGGAGGGTCAGCTATGAGTCGGTTCTGACTTGAAGGCAATAAGAGGACACAACACAAAGAAAGAAGTGAAAACAGAACACATGTCTGTTTCTAAAACTTCATCATGAATTGAACAGCTTGTTTAGGTACACTCAAATCGATGACTATCTTTTTAATGGACATTCTATTTTGTCTTAATAATCACCTGATGTTAGAGACCAAAAAATACTCAATTCTCTGGATTTTTAGATTCTTTTTTTTTTTAATTGCCATGGACCCTTCCCCCTGCCCCACCAGCTTTACAGGATATAAGCTTACTGAGGTGTAACTTATATAATATGCTCTACTGATTAAAAATGTGTGTAATTCATTGTCTTTTGGTATAAACATTGTACAATTATTATCTAAATATAATTTTAGAATATCTGTATTACCTTTAAAAAGGATCTCCGTACCCATTTGCTGTTCTGTCTCTCCCACCTTCTCATGCCTCCTACCACAGGCCATGGGAACTACTGACTTCGGAAGTCCTCACAGTTTATGTCTACTCTATTTCAAACATCTTAAATTTGACCCTTAAAATAAGAAGGCCTCCAAAAATAGAATGCATTTCAATTCTAATTTGATATTACTTTTACATTTAAAATCTGCTGATTCTAGGAAATGTTCACAAGTACTCACATTTTATATCATTAACTGCTTTTTATTAGGTTAACTTTAAACTCATCACATTATCTTACTTCATATTCTCTTCATCACTTTCTTATCCTTTAGATATTTTAGGAATAAATATTCTGACATTTCCATTTCTCACAGAATTTAGCATTAGACTTCTCTATACATAATGCTGATGGAGCAGTATTTAATAAATCCAGAATTCTCCAAATATGCGTCCGTTAGAAAACTATAGTTATTAGTCACCAATTACCTCTTTGAAATGGTTTTTCTCAGTCATATGTAAATTGTATCTTAAACTGCCTGTTTATCAGGAAGGGAAATGCCTCTTTCCTGGATTAGCATTTATCTTTTCAAACCTGTTTTTCTCAGTCATATATGTTAATGATTTTTAAAGTTACCTGTTTGTTAGTTACTGCATATGGACTATTCTTTTAAAATATTGAAATTCTGTTAACTTTAACAAAAGTCTAACCTAAGTATAAATGCTGAATGACAACTCTCAGACTTGGAGGCAGTCTCTGAGAAGGATCACCCTGCTTTCTCCCAGATCTGAAATAAAGTGCCTGGGATATTGCAGGCCGTCTTTCTTATTGACAATTGACTATGGAAAAAACCACTTGCATTTGGTCACAGTGCTTTCTTCATAAATGTATGCTGAAGGTAGAGATTTATTTATGTAACATTCCACCTATAGAACAATTAATACAACCAAATGCATCTACATTGGGGTAGGTCTTCTTCTGATGGGATGAAATGGAAGACCGAACGATGCAAGGATATAATGAGAAGCAAAGGTCACCCATTACCAACATTTTGAAGATGATTATGACTTGAGGACAGAAAGGGTTTTTTAAAATTTTACTTTTATTTTATTATTTTTTGTGCATGTACCATCAAATCGGATCTGACTGGTACAGGAGGAGACTGTCACTCCTCCAGTACAGCATCTGGCGGATTTGAAATGCGCACCTCCAGGATTGCAGTGTAGCTTCTTGCCACTAGGCCACCGGAGCTCCCTAAGGACAGCAAGTTTTATAATATTAAATTGCTCATTTGGTTTCTGTATTTCTGTTTTGTTTATAATTGCATAATGGTCTCATGCAAATGTGGGGATACCATTTAACAATTGAAAATATCATGACACAAAACACTGAATTCAAGTAGTTTTTGGTAGGTTGGTGCTTTAATACTGGGAGGGACCGACTACAATTCCTTTTAACAAGAAAACTTTAGTTTTGTTGGAGGATACTGAATAAGGAAAATCAACTCTAAATAGGAAGAAAGTATCATATAATGTCTTGAAATTGCTTATAAATATGTTCTGTAGTCCTGATTATTCCCATTTCAGAGAACAAAAGAACTGGTGCTGAAGGAAATGACCGTGATTATCACTAGGTATGAAGACTTCAGTAGAGATACATAATGATGATAATATAGAAGAGAATGTAGTACAATTGGCTTATACTATAACAGACCACACTGCTGCTGTTGTGTGCCACTGAGCAGGACTCGACTCATCGATGACCGTCCAGCAAGGTTTTCAGAGGCAGTGAACTGCACGGGAGTTGTCTGCCCACCCTTCTCCCACGAAGCAGCTGCTTTTTGAACAATATGCTTTTGTGACTCCTTACCACTAAGCCGCCAAGGCTCCCAAACAGATGATGGTTTAGACGATTCACTTGTAGGCCAGTTTTAAGCACTGCAGAACACATCTCCTCACAGAAATGGTATTGAATGCTTCAGGAGCCCTTAAATACTCATTTGATGGATGTAGTTGAAACAAAACAGATAAGAATAGACAATGACATGGTGAAGTATTTTTTTTTCTTTAAAGCATATGCTTAAACACAACAAAAAGAAGTGTAATTGTTTCTCATCATTTTATTATTTGGGATGAAATGAAAAACGATTCAAGTCTTGGTCTTGAATTTCAATGACTGCAAAAAAACAAGCTGTATAAAGAGAAAAATATTCACTAATTTATGAAAAACATTAATGATCATCTAATTTCATTTTAACAAATATTTACCAAAGGCACATTATCTTCATGCTATTGTTGTGTGCCATCAATTCCAATTCAGTGATCCTGGGTGACAGGATCTGTCCTGTAGGTATTCCAAGAATTTAATGTTTATAGGATCAAAACACCAACGCTTTTTTCTCCTGAGGTGGGTTCCAACTGCCAACCTTCTGGTGTATAAGCACTATTCACAGGGTTTATTTATAATCTTCATAGGCATTGTTGTAGGTGAGTGCCACTGAGTTGATTCTGACTTAATAGTAACTCCATGTAACAGAAAAGAATGTCCTATATGGTTCGCTTGGCTGACATCTTCATGGAAATCTTTTTTTTTTATTATTAAATTTTATTAGTTTTAATGAACATTTACAGAGATTTTGGGTTTTCATTCATTCATTGTTGCTTCATGGAAATCTTTATGCTCTCTTTTGGCCTCTGAAGAATTGCTTTGACCATTTAGCTCTCTTACTCCATCAATACTTTCAATCTGATGGGTCAATCCACCTTGTGGAGGGTCTTCCTCTCTTTCATTGACCTCTCTTTCCCAGCGTGATGTCTTTTTCCAAGGACTGGCTAGATTAGACATGATAACGCCTTGTCTTCAGCTTAGAATGTCTATCCCCTTTGTCTTCTTGCCAAATGCCAATAAATCGTTTACAACTCAAGAAACACCACAACCGGTAGAACGAGATAGTGCGCCACTACCACTGCTTAATACTTTGAAGGAATCACAGTAGATGGTCTCTCATTGAATGGGGGTGGGGAATGGGGAATAAAACTCGAGCTCATAAAAAAAGACTAGGCTTCTGATTGAGGCTGCTGGAGCTCCCGAGAATATGGACCTTAGTTACCCTTTGTATCTAGAATTGAAGTCTCCTCATGACTCATCTTCTAGGAAAAACAGTAGAGAGGGCTACAGGATGATTAGTAATACCAGAGAAAAATGCACTCCTCACAACAATCAACCACAAAAGTCGAAAAGGGCAGTGCTTACCCAAGGAAGACAAGAAAGGACAAGGGAAATGGGAGTTACAGGGAGGAAGGAGATCGAGTGCTACTGTGATGTGGGGATTGTAATCAATGTCAAGAAACATACAATGTGTGTGAACTGTTGGATGGAAAATGAAATTGTTCTGTAAAGTTTCGGTCAAATCACAATGAAAAGTGTTTGGATTTTTTTAAAAGAAGAAGTATCACTGCACTCCCTTCCTTTTA